TCATCATCTTCTGTCTTCCTGTTCCTTTATTGTCCTTTCTCCTCAGTGAAGTCTTTTCATTCTCTTTCATTTACTGTAACCCCTGCACTTTCTAATGGCATTATTTCTTTGCTTGTGGTGAAATGATAAAAAATATCAAAACTGGAGAAAAAATTTGCCTGTCTAATATTTTAATTACTTAAATTCACAAAAAGAAATAATGCAAGTTTGAACAAAGTATTGTTAAAAAGAACAAAAATCAATTTTTCATAGACATCAAAACTCTAAAATTGTGACATTTACATCTTAGTTTCACATCTGTATTTTTTAATATTTTTTTTAAGCATTTAATCCCAAGCAAGGCAGGATTCCACTAGCATGCAAGGGGTTATAGAAAGTGGGAGTGTGAGTAAAGAGGTGTGACAGAGGAAAGGATGAAGGATGGGGAATAGATCAAGGCATCTGGAGATGTTGATTGACATTACATTTGAATAGTTGGAGATTATAGCTATCAGGGAAACAAGTAATAGGAAGGGAATTCCACAGACAGGTGGTGGAAGAGATGAAGCTATTGGAGTAGAAGAGATGGCTACATTTAATGATTTTGACAGTGAAAGGGTGGGACCAAGATGCCATCCTCGTAGCACAATTAAATTCGTGCAGTCTGGGAACTAACAAAAGTAGCTCGTTAGAGCAGTTACCATGAAAGTATTTGTAGAAAAGACAGAGGAAGGCAACAGCATATCTGTGAGAGAGTGACTGTAGACGAGATGCCAGATCAGGGCCAATCACATTACATATCTGTCTCTGTATTTTCACAAGGCCCTTAAGACAAACAGAAGGGGTACCAGACCATATATGGCAGCAGTATTCCATTCAAGGGCATATATATATATACACACACACACACCATTGTGCAAATTAATTTAAATCAGGTGAGCTTCCAAGCTAGTCAATAGTACTTTGATTTGCTCATTGGTAAGGCTTGTCAGTGTGTTTGTGCAGCATTACAATTTTCGTACATTTCTTTGAGTTAACATCCATTGCAGACAATGGTCATAGGATAACTAATTGACTGTCGAGACAATAGTGTCTGGGCATGATAAAAATCTGGTGCAATCACAGATGATGCAGTAATTTTCAAGGCCAAACAAATTTCATCATACACCCTGAAAATAGATTCATATTATTGCACAACACTGCAAATGGCCTAATCTGAGGAAAAAATAAGAATTGATTACACCCTGTCACTCAAGTGGATCTAAAACTGACCGTATGGTGAAAGAAATGAAACTAAAGCAGTTGTTTCAATTAATTTGCAAGAATGTAATCAAATAATTGGTAAATTTAACAATATTTCATAATAAAGTTTCATCAAAATTATTCCTATATTTTTCTTTATGTTTCAATCAATCATTAACAGATGATATGCAGAAATAGTTCACAATTTTTAAATTCGGCGATAGAACATTGTCAGTTGCTACAGTCTTGTGCTTGTGTTTCAAATGATTTAGGCTCAAGTCCAGTGGCTTTCAGAGTTGTTTTGAGTTGGTCCTTGTATCTTCGAAAAGGGCAACCCTGTGGTCTGAAGTGAGCTCACTGAATAAAACTTTACATGGTAACCTTCATGCTTCCATTCTTGCTAGATGTCCTAGCTATTGCAGACAGTGTTTAATGATCAGCGATTTGATACTTTGACTGTTGGCCCTATCCAGGACATTGGTATTGTTCACATATTAATTCCATTTGATATTCAGGATTGAATGAAGATTTTGATGGTGAAAGCTTTCTAATTTTTGGATATTGTGTCTAGGTTTTGCAACCATATAGCAAAGCTGAAATGACAACAGTATTATAGACCATAATGTTTATTGTTAAGTTTAGATGTTTGTTGTTGAAGACACATTTGATTAGCTTTCCAAATACCCATGTACAGCTCCAATTCTGTGTTCCATATCCTTTACTGAGGTGCATTTGTTTGATAAAAGCCTGCCTATAAAAAATGCTATAATTGTTCTAGAGGTGTCTCACAGATGGTAATATCAAAATCTGGTAAGATGGTATTTGCAGCATGCTATGCAGCAGCTTTGGTATTCTTGATGAATTGAATTATAATGCTTAAAGTATAAATTATAAAATAAATTAAATAATTTAAATTTATTTAAATAGTGTTTAATATTAATGTTGTCAATTCTCAAGAACAAAAACAAAATGTATAAATTTACTTTCATATTACTTTTCAATTTTTCATTACAATTCAAATCAGTGGCAGCCATAATCTTAACATGAGATACTTATAAAGGTAAAAGACAATAGGAAAACTGTATTATTAGTCAATGCATTTCATTCAATGTGGACTTTTTCAAGGCAAAAACGAAATGAATTTATTAACATAAGTTATAAATTTATTAACATAAAATATGCAGATGATGCAGTACTGTTAGCAGACACAGAAAAGAAATTATAAAATCTCCTACAGAAGGTAGCGACAGAGAGTGAGAAGAAAGGACTACACATAAACTCCAAGAAGACAGAATGCATAATCATCAGTAAGAGGAAGAGCCTGAAATGCAATTTGCAGGCTGGGAATACTAGAATCAAGCAGACGCAGAAGTTTCAATATCTGGGATGCATCTTGACAGAGGATGGTAAGTGCTACACTGAGATCCGTAGACATATTGAGATGGCCAAGGACACATTCCAAAAGCTGGGCAGAGTACTGTGAGACAGCAGGATTTCTTTGGTAACAAAGAAAAGAATACTGAGCTGTTACAGGACATCTGTCCTTCTTAACAGCAGTGAATGTTGGAAAATTTCCTCAAAGATGAAGAAGAGACTTGTAGTGACAGAGATGTGGTTCTACAGAAGGATGCTATGGATATCATGAACTGAGTGTGTGAGCAGCGATGAGGTCTTAGAGAGGTTGCAAACAAGGAGGAGGCTTATAATATCAGGAAGAGGTAGCTGAAGTTTCTGGGATATATCATGAGGAAGGAGGGCCTGGAGAATATGATACTCACGGGTCAAATAGAAAGAGGGACAAGGGAAAACAATGTGACATACCTGGCTGACTTAAGCAAGTGGATAAGAGAACATGGTTTAGGGGAGGAAGCAGAGGGACGAAACTTGTTGAGAGTTGTAAGGGATAGAGGGAGGGGGAGAGCCATTTTCACCTACATCCTGAAAGGACATGGCACATCACAAGAAAGAAAGAAAAAGAATCATCATTTTTTAAACCAACAGGCAGAGTGAAGTTAGTTAAAATAATAGTGGCATCAGGTGAAAAATCATTCTTTTGACACTTCATTTTTTGTGGGAATGAACGTCAAAATTTGTAATAAATTCTAACATATCTGTAATTAAGGACAATAAAAGTTCTTGTAGGTCTCAATTATTAGTATCTTTAAAAGAATATGATGGAAACTAACATGGCTCACTTAATAGTTAAATAAATACAAAGAAATAATCACAATTCGTTAATGTGGGAAACAAATCTAAAATCAAGTGACTTTGAATTAAGAGTAACAGGTGAAATATAAACTACTATTATACTATTATCAAAAAGAGATATCTAGTGATATCTTGACTAATAAAATAAAAAAAACCTCGTCATTATAATGAGTTCAATATCAGCATCATTTTTGAATTATCACAACTTTCATTATTACAATTATTGATTTTCAAAAGAGATAGCTACTGATATTTAACTGATAATATGAATTATCATCATTATAATGATTATAATGAACTCAGCGTTTTGTAACTGATGACATCATAACTTTCATGATTAAAATATTATTGGCATTATCAAAAAGAGATAGCTAGTGATATTAAAGTGATAAGATAATAAAACTATTATACTATTATTAAAAAGAGATAGCTAGTGATATCTTAACTAATAAAATAAAAAAAACTCATAATTATAATGAGTTCAAAAGCAGCATCATTTTTGAATTGTTATCATAACTTTCATTATTACAATTATTGATTTTCAAAAGTGATAGCTACTGATATTTAACTGATAATAAGAAATATCATCATTATAATGAGCTCAATATCAGCATTTTGTAACTGATGTCATCATAACTTTCATCATTAAAATATTATTAGCATTATCAAAAAGAGATAGCTAGTGATATTAAAGTGATAAGATAATAAAAAATATCATCATTATAACGAGCTCAATATCAGCATCATTTTTGAATTGATGTTATCGTAGCTTTCACTATTTAAATGATTTTTGTTCCTGTTTCAATACTGAATACAAAAACTGGAGCTTGATTTTGGCAATCAAACAGGAACTAATGTAACTTATGTCAGCAAGTTCAAAAGTTTGGAGAAAGGACTTTCCTCACAATCTAAATTTGGTATCTTCTAGTAGATGCTAAAAGAATATCTGCCAGAGGACACGATGAATAAAGTTCATCTTGAAGGTCAAACATAACAGTACATACAAGTTATTGGTAGGAATGCTGTGGAAATATTAGTATGCCTAAAAAGTAAAAATTGTATACTTGGGATTTCCTGATGCTTTTCCTTAGTGTATTGTATTTTTTGGAGCATTTAATGCACAGTCTCAATTAATTCATGGACTGCAATGATAAAATGAGAAACAAAATTTGGATTAAGGATATATATATATATATATATATATATATATATATATAAACAGAAATTCTTACATACACTAATACAAACACATATACTATGTGTAGTCATTAATATCTATGTCTGTGAAACACTAAAGTACTTCCTCTGTATTTATCCTTTTATGCATCCTTTCTTGCCTCACCTTTTCCTCTTTTGGGATTTTAATTTAATTTCTTGATTCAGCCACTAGCTTTTAAAAAGAAAGGCAGATATGAACTGATGGAGATAGATAAATAGAGAAACACTAAGGCAGACAGATATGGATATACTAAGATAAACTCTTTTAAAGAGATAAGCAGGAAGACATGAATTGTTAAAAATAGATAGATAGGGAGGTACTGAGGTAGATATGGATATACTAAGACACCTCTCTAAAGATATAGGCAAACATGGTCTGCTAGATAGCAACACTGAGGCAGATACAGAAATATGAAGACAAACTCTTTTAAAGAGAAGACATGAATTGTTAAAAACAGATAGATAGATAGGGAGGTACTGACGTAGATATGGATATACTAAGACACTCCTTTAAAAGGATAGACAGACATTGATTGCTAGAGATAAATAGATAGAGAGACACTAGGTAGATATGGAAATACTAAGACAAACTTTTTTAAAGAGATAGCTTGCAGGCATAGATTTTTGAAGAGAGAAAAATATAGAGAGAGATACTGAGGTCAACAGATATAGATATACTAAGACTTACATGAATGAACTGAGAGTGATATTAAAAGAAAAAGAAAATTAAAGACTGATATAGATAGATAGATTTATTTGAACATGAACAGAGTTAAATGACACATGTGAACAGATGAAGAAGATAAAGTTAAATAAGGGATACACTGATGCAAAGACAACAAGGATTAAGATAGAAGACAGATAAATAAATAAATAATGGAAAACAAGATATATAGATATATAGGATGAATGCAAAGACAAACTTTTAGAGATAGATAGATAGATAGATAGATAGATAGATTAGATAGATGGGATTGATAGATAGATAGATATAAATGGGAGAGATAGATAGATAGATAGATAGATAGATAGATAGATAGGATAGCTGTTAGAGATAGATAGATAGATAGATAGATAGATAGATAGATAGCTGTTAGAGATAGATAGATAGATAGATAGATGTTAGAGATAGATAAATAGACAGTGATATATGAGGTAGATATGGACATACTAAGACACTCTTTTAAAGAGATAGGCAGATATGGACTGCTGGAAATATATAAATAATATAGGGAGACACTGAGACAGATTTCTTTTGAAAGATAGATATGCAGAGACGGACTGATGGTTTATAGATATATATGATATAAACAGATAAAGAAAAAAATTTTAAAAGAGATAGGCAGACATATTTTTAGAGATAGAAAAGTATATAGAGTGATGCTGAAGTTGACAGATATAGATATACTAAGACTGACATGAATGGTTTGAGAATGAGATTAAAAGAATAAAACTATTCAACATGAATAGTGTGATATAGATAGATTTTCCTCTACTGGCCTAAATATTCATCAAATGTTATTCAACAAAGTTTGCACAGTTTGAACCTGTGTCCACCTCAGATTTTTTCTTTAATAAGATTTCTCCAATACTCAGGTCAGGAAACAAAAATAAATACATCTTTTAAAAAATAAACAGAGTGTTTACTCAAATATAGGTATTCACTAAAAACAATGTTTAAAGTGATAAATATGTTATTTTCTTTATATATATATATATATATATATATATAAGTGAACATTGAATTCAACATTCAGAGGTGACAGACTGTTTTATACTAAACACAATCATCAGGCCACGTGTTATTTTTTCTTAGCTATTTATATATACAGTTCAGTGATGCATTGTGGGTAGTCTATTGCATTGTACAGACTACTCACAATGCAATAAAATACTTACAATGCATCACTGACTTGTATATTAATAGTTGAGAATATACAGAAAGTATGTGGCCTGATAATTGTGTTTAGCATGAAACAGTCTGTCACCTCGAAGTGTTGACTTCAATGTTCACTTTTATATTTACATATGCTCTGTCTCTGATATTGAGCAATTTATCCCATAAATATAGCATACCTTAAAATTGGTTTGGTTTGTTTTGTCTTATGGTATATCAACCTCAAGGGCTCATTTAATGCCGATAATTTTTTTTATTTTCTGGTAATAGTTTTGTTTTGCCAAAAATCTATTTCTGTTAATATTTTTTCCTCAAAAACATATAGCTGGTAATATTATTTTTTCAAAAACGTATTGCTGGTAATATTATTTTTTAAATAACGTAGAGCTGGCAACATTATTTTTTAAAAACTTATTATCAGAGGCCTTGATGTTGGACGTAGTTTATCATCTTACCCAGGATGTGGATGTAGTTTATTGTCATACCCAGGATGCAGATGTAGTTTATTGTCATACCCAGGACATGGATGCAGTTTATCGTCATACCCAGGACACACCTTAAAACTGTATTTATATATATATATATATATATATATATAGAATGGTGTGATGGATAAATTGTTGCCATTTTATATTTTTAATTTAAATAATCTGAACAAACTGAAATATGGATGGACTGAAATAGAATTATAAGAATGGAAAAAGACAGTTAAGTGATAAACAATTACATGCAGCCTTAAACAGAGAATGAAAAAATTGAGTTACATAAATTGTTATTAACAACCAACAGTAGATAATGAATAAATTTGGATAGATATTAAAAGATGGAGATAGATATACAGAAACAGATCAGGATAGATAGAATCACAGAAAATTATAACCAGTCTAACATAGATCAATACAACCTGATATAGGTATGTATGAACAGTATTAGATAAGAAAAAAAAGGAATGCAGACACATCCAAAAATATAAATTGAATGAAATAGATACATAGCTATGATTCAGATAGGTAATTGAAAGGATATGAACATAATTATGTAGGTAATAACTGCTTATTTATATGTAAATGTGTTTATATTTATATGTGTAAATTCCTCTTTTGGGGTAATTTCACATTTTCTTATCATCTCTCAGTTGCGTCTCTGTCCTTGGACAGAGTGCGCTCAGGGGCTTCTCTGTCAAAGGACAGAGGGGCAACTGAGGAAAATTATACTGAAGAGGTGCCCAGCCCTGGGGGAACAGCTGCCCGAGGCGCGCCTCCCATTGCACAAGAGGGAGGGATCGGTGCTCGCACCGAGGCCAGTGCAACCAACGGTTGCGGGGGCTGAGGGGAATTTTTGTCCCTGCCCCAGTGTACATCTCGGGAACCCACATTAATCCGACCTTGTGTCACATCTCATTCTCATGGGGGAATAAGTAAATACCCCTGCTTATTTATATGAATAAATATATTCACAAAACAGAAAGAAACACAGAGACAAATTTATATAAGCAAAACTTAGGAGGAGGTATGGTGGAGTAAGGGATAGCAGCTCAGATTGAGGAATCAGAGAGCTGAGTTCAAATTCCAGTCGAATTCATTACATTCACTTATGTGCTAATACCCTTGGGGAAAGGTATGAATCCTCTTCTTCCCCCACCAGCTATGGCTGAATAGCAGGACAGACTGGGTTCTATAGTCTTGGATGGCAACTGGTCTACTGCAGGAAGAAATGGCAACCTACTGCAGGAAAAAAATCTGCCTCATCAGTCATGTATTGAAAGATATATGATCACCTAAGCATGTATCATGCATGGCACATAACTGACTGATATACACAAAACAAATGTACAAATTGGTTGATGAACTGATGAAACAGATAAATTAACAGGCGGAAAACAAGAAACAGGTAAAAGGTTATAGACTTGCAAACAGACAGGAAAATATATATATATATATATATATATATATATATATATATATAGAAATTTTATTTTTATACCCTAACCCCTCAAGACATAATCAGAACAGTATTTTTAAGATTGGACAAATTGTTTTTTGAATAGTTGTTGTCAAGGATTTAGTACCTAGTATTATGTCTGTTTTTACCTGTTTTATGGTCATTATTATTGTTATTAATGCATAATTCTTCTTCAGGCAAATATTAGGGGTTGCATTCTGACCCATATTTCTACACAGTAGTCATTCTTTTTCTTCTATGTGTTGTGTCCCTTCAGGACATTGGTGATCATGACGTTTCATGATTTCCTGTCATTTGATCTCTTACTAAATTTTATCCTTTTGTTATCACTTCTAAAACTTATTCCACAATGGATTTGCTCGAAATTACCAGGTAGGTTCTGCTTTTTTATTTTTCACTATACCTCTTGTCTTCAATCTGTCCTGTGAGTATCAAATTTTCCAAGCTCTCTTTCCTTATTATGTGTCCTAGAAATTTCAACTATCTTTTCCTGATGTTATGCATAAGTGTCCTTTATGATTTAATTTTCTCTAAAACTTCCTCATTACTCACATGTTCAGTCCATGGTATTCTCAGCATCCTTCTTTAGAACCACATTTCTGTTGCTTGAAGTCTCCTTTTAATCTGTGAAGCGATTGTCCTGCATTCACTGCCATATAGGAGGACTGATAACAAAAGTTTTCTATTTTTATATTTTGCTTAGCTTTTGGATGACACTTTCAGTATCCCAATGCATCTTTGAATTTCAGTGCTACAATTCCCAAATATTCAAATTGGTCAACTTGTTTGATTTTGATGTCTCCAATTTGTAATTTGCAAGTTGAGCTGACCCTTTTACTAACAACTGTTATAAAATAAAATAAGACATATCTCGGCTGATTTACAGGCAAATACTCAAGAGCAAGAGCCGGATGTGAACAGGACAAAACCCCGTCACAAAATGGCCATTATCTTTATTTACAAATGTTCCCGACACACGTGTTCCAGTCAAAAAATAAAATAATATTTAAAGTGTTCTATTTTTCGTCCAATAAAAATGCTTCCCTTCTAATTATACTTGTTTCATTTTTCGAGCCTGTTAAGCCATAAAAAAACGCTATAAAAGGGGTCACACGGAAGTTCAACAGGCAGTCCACGGGTGGCCAGGGTAGAGACCTGTCACGGTCAGCAGCTGTCAGCAGCTGCCAGCAGGGGAGCATCAACCACCGTCAACATGTGTGGACTACTATGAGAGATCGACCTAGATCCGAAGCCGGCTTATGAACTTTACCACAAGGTAGCTCTCCCAAACCCACACATTCCTGTTGAAATAAACCACGTAAAATCTATTTCTGCTGTTGTTGTATTTCTTTCTTGCAACCATACACTTATCTATAACACAACCATGTATTCTATCTTCTTGCAATGTTTAGTCCTTTCTTCTTGGCTTCTTTCACTACCATCTGTAGGAGTTCTTATAGTTTCCTTTCTGTGTCTACTATCAACACCATGTCATCTGCATATCTTATGTTGTTATTACCACCAACAGAACAATTTAAAATATTAACACTCCCTTGACTCCAATAGCCATTAGAAGAACACAATAAACAGGAAATAACTGACTTTGCTATGCAATGATCAGCATATATAATTAGTTGAACTACCATCTAACACATGGCCTGAAGATTACATTTCAACATGAAGTAGACTGACACCACTCTGTGTTGACTTCACTGTCTACACTTATATTTATGTATGCTCTATTCTAGATATTGAACACTTTTATTCACAAATATAGCATATCCTAAAATTATATATATATATATATATATATATATATAATCCTTAATTTAAAGGAAAACAGACCACTTTAAGGCTCCATTTGTAATAATTTATTTCACCACAGAATTTTATTTTTCTCTGGATCTTCAGACTTCACTTCACAGGTGAAATGAAAAATGAATTTAAAATTTACACTTTTGACAGGCAGCATTAAGCTTATATAAATTGACATAGAAGGTAGTGAGGAATGGTGTGAGAGACCTGGTCAAGGTTAGAGAGGGAAGGGAGAGTTTTAAAATTTATTTTTATATTTCTTTTTATTATAATAATTGAGAAAGGAGAGGGTAAGGATCAGACATTGGCTTATTTAATCGGCCAACTCAATGGAAATGATATGAGAAAAGGAAAAAGAGAAAAAAGGGAAAAAGAAAAAATATAAATATATATATATATATATATATATATATATATATATATATGTATGTATGTATGTATGTATGTGTGTGCAAGTGTGTCAGAGACAATATAGAATTGCATGAACCTACATACTAGTGATCTTCATTCATTCAGTTTACATCTGTCATCATCCATACATACACAGATATGCATAGAGACTTATGAGTGATCTGTAAGCCATAAAGGCAAATACTCTGATAGAGATCTAGAAAGATTGACATGTACCAAATAAGACACCCCAATAAATGTGAAAGGAGATAAATGTGATGTATTTATCAAGAGATAAATAAAGTTGAAAATATACAAAACAAAAAATCCTAAGCATCCTGGATATAGATAAGTGTACATATTATGAAATGGACAAAGTCCGACAATTATTTAAAGACATTTTTATGTTTATACATACTTTTTTATAGATAGAAATATTTAAGTAAAGGCTCTGTTAATAATAAACAGTATTAACAACATTTACCAGCCTGAATGCCTGAGAAATTGTCAAAGAAAATATGCATCCTCCGACAGGAATTGAACCTGTATCCTATATGGAACTGTCATATAGCCTGAGGTGCTTTTACCAATTTTGCCACAGAAGAGTGTTTTGCTTAGCAAGGTCAATTTTACTGTTTTTAAATTACAATCTTCTATGATTTTCTCACGTACATTCATATTTGCTCATGGCGTATCCAAATGTAAACAAATGATGTCACACATGAAATGGACAAAGTCCGACAATTATTTAAAGAAATTTTTATGTTTATACATTCTTTTTTATAGACACAAATATTTAAGTAAATGCTCCGTTTATCATAAACAGTATTAACAACATTTAACGGCCTAAATATCTGAGAAATTTTCATAGAAAACATGTGTCCTCCAACAGAAATTGAAACTGTATCCTATACAGAACCATCATATAGCCTGACGTGCTTTTACCGATTTGTTTACATTTAGATACGCATCAAGCAGATATGAATGTATGTGAGAAAATCATGGAAGATTGTAGTTTAAAAACAGTAAAAATTGACCTTGGTAACCAAAATGCTCCTCTGTGGCGAAATCGGTAAAAGCACCTCAGGCTATATGACAGTTCCATATAGGACACAGGTTCGATTCCTGTCGGAGGATGCATATTTTCAATGAAAATTTCTTAGACATTCAGGCCAATAAATGTTGTTAATAATGTTTATTATAAACATCATTTACTTAAATATTTGTAGCTATAAAAAAGAATGTATAAACATAAAAATATCTTTAAGTAAGTGTACATATTGAATGATGTTTAGTACTTTGTAGATAAATACCTGGTATTTTGTATACAAATAAATCATAGAAATGACCTACATAGAGACAGATATTCATTGTACTTCAAATTACTTCATATATATATATATATATATATATACACACACACACACACACACATGTATGTATGTATATATATATCTCCGGTCACTGCCGTGTTTGTCTAAAAATAAATCTGTCTAAATTCACCTTCATCCCTGTCAGCCATGCATCAATAGCTTAAGGATAAAATCTACAAATGAAACCAAATCAGTCGGGTTTTGATCCTGGCTTGAGGCAATTGGTTATCTAGCCACACTGATGAGCTGTGAAAGAGTGAAACAGTCTGTCTGTGGATGACAATATATATATAATATCAATCGATAATTAGTAGGGATAATTCCAAGGAGGATATTAATCCAAAGAGAGTTCAATGTAAATAACAGAGCAATATAATAATGAGTACAGATGATCTTAAAAATCCATTCAGTTAAAATTTAT